TTATCGGATGCGACGAGCGCAAAACGCCAATCTCCTTGGCACCGAAACAAAGTCGATGTTATTGACAATCTCGTGGTACTGAACGCGCTCATATTTGGTACACTCGTTAACACACATGTTCGACCACCGTGTTATTCGCATTTTTCTGTACTGTTCTTCTTTCTCTGGAAGGTGAATGCGGCGGCCATGTATGTCCTCTGCAAGCTCTACACCGACACAGACAATGCGAACTATACAGGGAACGCGTGCGGTTCGCTCGTCTTCGTTTGCCGGCCGAGTGTTTACGTTTGCCGAACACGTTCTTTTTGATTTTTTTTTTTTTTTTATATTGTAGTTCACGTACGCGTTTACCGTTGACACTAAACGAGAACGACACAACGTTTGTGTTTATTATCGACGAACACTTTTGAGAATGCTATTTTTTACTTAATTCAGCAGATGACCGAGTGTAAAAACTGTTTAAATCGTATCTACGAGTGAAACTCGTCGGCGCGTTTCTAGTCGATTTTGCGAAACGGTTTTTTGTAGTGGGTAAGCATATTACGTAGGCACATCAAATGCAAACAATATCTTGATGCGAGTGAACTGCACCTGTTAAAAGTCCAATGTCGATCATAATTATCATTACCGAACATTTTAGACTGCTGGCGACCTCGAACGGATCATATGATTGTGTTTATACTTGTGTTTTAATTTTAGAGCGATTTTGATAGCATAGCAACAGGTATGCGATTCAATTTGGTTTGACCTCAAAAATCAATCACGGACAAATGTTTTACCACTAACGACTCGGTTCATGACAGTAATCGCATCGTCGTAAAACCAAAACAAAGAGTCTTTGTTTTTAATTTAATTATAGCGCTTTTCCTGGAATTCTTGAAATCTCTTTTCGTTTTTAAAAGGTATTCACGCCAGTAGACATCATATTGATAACCGGTTTTCTCTAATCGTGTACTGTCACTGAAACGTTACGTTTTAAGTGCGTTAAAGAAAACTGCATTTGAATATTATTAATAAAAATGTGTAATTAATGTTGATATTAGCACCGTGGAAATGTCGCGAACGATTAAGAGTACATCACAAACTAATTTCTTATACATTTTAATGACAACATTTTAATGGACGAGATTATACAATTGTGATTTAACAACGATAATATAAGTCAAGGTCGCGGTTGAAAAAATCATACTAAAAATAGTATCTGCGGGTAATTAAATTTGTAAAAAAATCGATAAATGTTTTGTGTTGCGTTGCAAACATTGGAGTTTTCACTTTTATGTCTTTGAATTTCCTGAATTTACTGTCCTTGGTCTACTCTTAACGCTCGGCTGGACGCCAAATATTTGCCTCAAGGACAATCGAACGAAATCTATTTCGGCGGTTTCCGACGTGGCTGAGGTTAGTCGCCTTTATTTCAACAAAGGTCTTCGTGGGATGTGCCACGGGCATTATTGGGATTCCCTCGGAGTCTCTCCTCCGAGCTTGTTTTTTGGCAAAGCGGTTGTTTACTCCTTAAATCGTTTCAGGTGATTGCTTTTGTCGATGAATTTCTATGGAAACGTTCGAACGATTATACTTTAATGTCAGGAATTAATTATCAGTCCGTACCCTCAACTGCCCACGCGCTCCTACTGAAGACGGGGCGGTCTCTTGAGTTGCCGTCGGGTGGGCCGTTGATCTCTTTGTATGTGCAAACGGCAGATTTGCTAAACACTGAAATCCTTGAACTTGATTCTTATTGCACACGGTTTGAGTAATATAAAACCGAACTGTCGAAATTATCGAGCACATCGGCTGTTTAATTATATTTGTGTATTACGCGGTGTGATTATCAATTACACAATAAATCGCTCGTTCAAGTGTACAATTTTTATATAGTCAATTGAATTTGTTCAAAATTCGTCTGTATAAAATTTGTGATATTTTATGTGTAGGCAACGTTATTTTTGACATCAATGGTTAATCGATAAAAAAACATACGCAAAACGTTTTTTATCGCTTCAGATAACCACTAGTGATGATCTTCAGACGAATACAATAGTATAATTAACACGCGCGTTGTCATTTATCTATATGTATTCTAGTAATTATTAGAGATCCCTCTACATTATATTTTTATTACACAACAAGTAAAGTTGAAATTTTTTTTTTTTTGTTTTTCAATCCGAAGATTGGTTTTTAACAAATGTTTTACAATAAATGGCTTCTCCATTTTTCCAAAGTTGAAATATTTAACTGTAATTTGCACAAGATTTTAAGTCGTATGTATCGAAAAATGCAAACATATTAGTTTTTAGAATTATTATGTTTTTCTTTTAAATTCAACAACTAAAAATGTAATTGTATATTTTATAAAACACACTCGAATAGTAAAATACTTATTATAATTTACCGTTTTTCAAGAATAATTTCGTTTCGTAATTTAATCGGGCAAAATTCACATACATTGGTATGTCTTATCAACTAAATAATACAAACACTTTGATGTTTTATTCGCTTAAATGTTTTTCTGCCGACGATTTTAAGGAATATTACCAACTGTTGTCTTGTACTTGAAACGAAAACACAATTTTTTTTTTTATTTAGGACAAACTTTGTTTGGTTTTAGTCATCTAACGAGTCGTGATCAGATCTCACTTGATAGGTATTACATGATACGTTCGGATAGATGCGCATGGAAGAAAAGCATTAATTTATGATTACTGTCATTTAGTCGGTCAATGAGGTCCATGAAGGTATGCCACAAAGCTGGTTTAATAGTTACTTAAAAGTAGGCTCTTGACCCGGTCACTTGAAACCGAAAGACTGTTGCATAACACAACAAATATTATGTCGTTGCTAATAAATAGTACTGAATGCCGTTTTACTTTTTAAGCGTTAGAACAAAATATATTCGCTGTCCGCTTGCGATATTTTCATTCACTTAGTTACGCCATTTTATACAACTGCGAATTTCTATCGGTTTTCGTTTATTGTAACACTGACACACTGCACATGTGGTTTACATTATCATATTTATAGAATCTAATACATTAATTAGTAAGACTTGAGCCAAAAAGCATAAATTATTATTTGGGCGTGTGTTGATGGATTTGTTATAATTTTCTAAATAAAATATGGCCCTATATTTTGCACTCAAGGTTTCAAGTCAAACACATCAAACATGTTCGTGTGTATGTGTTATTTTGTGTTTGTTTTGTGTAGTCAATTGTTAAATGCACAACTGATTTTTTTTTTTTAACTAATGTGTACATATTAGATTAAAACGACTCTTTTTTTTTTGCTAGAACAGCTTTACTTGATCACGCATTCAGGGTTATCGTTATCATTATTATGGTTTAAAATAACTTTAAGACTTCAAATCGAACGTCGGCGTAATGGAAACTTGACTTTTTACGACTGTTTTGAGACGGCTAATAGATATTAGTGGGTGCGTTTAAATGCCAGAAATAGGATTTTGCGTTATGCTGTGTACAAATACGTTTAGCTCTTAATTTATTGGTCGATTTGTTGCTGTTCAGCGTTTTATCTATAGCCTTCGATTGTCTATTCTGTGATAAAATAATTTTTTAATGCGAGGAATCGGTAAATAATAGTTCGAGATTATATCCACCTCTCAGCATTGTTCTGATAAAATCGCACAAATTCTTTCAGTACGCCTACTCGACAATACACGATAATATTGTATTAAACCACATACCATTTGTGATGCGGAAAAATCGTTGTGTTCAATACTTATCTAGTGTTTTAAGTACACGAGTACCAGTTCAATGTGTGTTTTATAAGAGCACAATTGCGGTATACAATTAAAATAATTGAAATTCCTTGTGGTGATGATCAGCTCGTGTAGAAGTACTCGACAGTTCTTGGAAATTATAAATTTATTTACTTAGTTAAAATATTTTCCGACTGTAGAGCACTTGTGTACGCAGAAAAATTTGTGTTTAGTAGTAAATTTCAAGCTTGACACATGATTTTATGTGGAAATATGTTTGCATTTTATGAATTACATCAAAGTAAACAGAGTTATCTTAAAATTTTAGTTGGTTTTAACATGTCACATTGATAAACGTCCAACACCGTGCGCAGTGTTAATATATTTTACATTAATGTGCCGTCAACAATAGTAACCTTCAAGGTACTTTCTAACCGAATAAAAAACATTCGTTAGTTTTCGTTTAGTTATAATTATTAACGTTCAATGATTTTTTTCATTCAGTTTATATCAATGATTGTGTTTCCAGAGTAAAATTTATTTAATCGCTCCAATCAATGAGCCGTGAGATAACGAAATAAACAAAAAAAAACTTCACCATGATTACATTGGTGTATGTGGTCGGCGACGATCACGTGCTATTGTAATGTTCAATTTAATAAGCACCTATTAGTAAAGTAAACAAGAGAGAATTTTTAGATGGAAATATTCTACGGCAAATACTGATGGAAGTTTTTAAGAAATCAGTAAATGTTTTCTACAACATAACCGTTACTCCAAACGAACACCGAACAATAGGAACACGTTGTGTCTAAAGGTTATGATAATGCAAGCGATTTGCCGGATTTTATCATCGAAACGTTTTCGGTGGACTTGAATCGCGTCAACCGGCTTTTGTATCTTTTTACCTTAGGAATTTCAACCCGACACTCAATTATCGCACTGCGTACCGCCTTTCCCCTAATATTATCTCATACATCGCACGTGCGTACGTTGCGAGAAAAACATTCGTTTATTTTCATTGATCGAGTAAACAAACTGTTGAACTCGTATTCGGTTCTGCTTTTATCTCCACACAAAGGTTTTATTTTTTATCTGAAATACTTAGCGTGTGATAACAACAGTCGTGTGGATGATTGACCGAAATGCACAAAGCGAGTGCGAGCGAGACAAACGCATTGGAAACGGTAGCGGCGGCGGCGGAGTGCGACAGAGAATTTTAATTTTTATTGTCGACTATTATAAATATGTATGTGTTTGAGTGCACCAGCACATCGACGCGGACCGCGGGCTCATTAGTGGGCCAGTAGCTCAGGTAACGCGCTCGATGGGCGTGAATTTCGTTTGTGTTTCGCGTTTTGTCAACAATTTTGTGCGTTGATACGGTTGTCGGCCAGTGTCTTCTTGTCGGGTCGCATGATGAGGCATAGCGCCTTATTGTTACGTTCTAATTTTCCGGAAAGTTGTCAACTTTGGACAGAAAGTCATTACGAATTTTGTAAAATTTCGTGACGTTTAATTTTTGCGCCGCTCTTGGCAACGCCTTTTTGTTTCCGTGTTTACCCGATCGCCATCCTTCGGTTGTGTCGGCGCGTTCACATTGTAATAAACATTCGCACTAAATACTTTTGCAACGAATTTTTTTTTTTCAAATTCGCCAAGTGACGTGTTCCAAGTACCGTTAAAAATGAAAAATATTCACTCGGCGGTTCGATGACAATTTTTAATTCGAGTGTAGTTATTTCAAATTCAATCTTAACGTTTCGTCAATATCGTTTATACAACACAACAGTGTAAGTAAACTAAATATTCATTTAAATATTTTATTTCACGGTAAAGACGTTTTATTACTCGGAGCAAATTTTTTTTCAAATATATATTTTTTTTAATGTTCGTTTTTGTGCGAATTTGATCGCACGATAGATCCAAATCTTCGGCCGTTAACCTCTTAATGTTTCTACACAAATCGGACCGTAACGAGTCGAAGTACTTTTACGATGAAAGTTTTCTTAGATATAATTTAACGAGCAATAAAACGTACATAAATTTATTTTTTGTCAAATACATTATCAGTTAACGCGTACAAAGTTATGCAATATAAAATATCAACCAATAACGAATTTATTTTAAAACAGCGGTCACCTTTGGTTTCTATGAAAGAAAGAGATAGAACGTAACACGCGTTTAGTGGTTTACCGTCGAATACGTTTTTTAGCATACCGATTTTCAATAGTTTATCGACACGAATTTACTAATTGAATTGTTGTATTACATTAGCTAGCAATGTAATAACAAATAGTGTTGTTGTTTTGCAATTTTAAACAGAGTTCTCTTATCACGGGGTATCGATTGCAGCTTGTTGTCTTTGCGATAAAAAAATAATCGACATGCGTACGAAACTACTGTCAAATGTCCATAGAAAAACAAATGCTAATGTCCGTTTTTCTCCGAACACTTGCGACATTAATTCCGACGGAGATCGTTAATTACAAATCGGCCGAATGTGTTTTGTTTCTCATTGGGTTTAACCATCGGCGTTTATGACTCGGTGCATATTATTAGTCCATTATTTCCATGTGACGTGCGGTATCGTTACTATTGTGCAACACGCCGCCGTACAGTAAACAGCTTTTAGGCGTCTAACAATAACTGGTCGACGACAATATCTTCGACCGGCGAATGACCTCTGCCGCCGATACGTCTGAAGTTGCGAACCGATTCATCGCCTCTTTGATGTGTTACTATTATTATTGTGCGAATTTCATACGTCGCAGTATCAATGTGTGCCAAACGCGGTCAGCGTTGCGTAACAAATATTTTTTCTCACAGCATCAAACTGGTTCACAACGCGCGCCGCTACAATTTGAATTCCTCCGAATAATCCGGTTGGTTCTTTTGATTACGGCGGGGCGTCGCACCCGAACCTCAACAAACCAGTCGGCGCGTTATGTAACAAAATTCACTTCATCTCTCAGCGAAAATTATCCGCGCTGATCCGCAGTGAAATGTTAACAAACCACTGTCGATTGTGAAAAGCTGTACGCCACTTGGACATTTGGGGGGTGTCCAGAGAGCTATTTGATCGTTGAATTGCGGGGAGATTCATCTTCCACAACTATGATTTTATGTCATTGGGGAGCAAAACCCCATGGACCCCCTCTTACCGTAAATACGCCACTGAGCGTCGGGGAGTTGCCTAGCGAGCAAATGTTTTTGGATTGCATACTCGATACGCCTTACTCGGATGCCGACTGATAATAACCTTATCGAATTTTTTAACGATATCAGCGTGTTCAAATAAATTACATGGTCATCACGATCTACTTGTGCCCGCGACAACAATGTTTAACCCTGAAAAATACATTTTTTACACTAGCCGACGAGTCGTCTTATTATTTTGGTCTTATATACTTAGAAACTTGTACGAATCGAGTGACACGCTCTATTAAAATACGTTATGTCATAATATAAATGGCGAAAAGCACACGCGCCTTTTCGTCCGTTCCCTTTTTATTAAAAATTCAACATTTATCAGTCTTCTCGGGTTGATGAATCGTATTGTTTGGCTTCGGTGGTCTGGCGGGATTATTTTTATCTAAAGTTTAAAATACTCCCTACAACAGGCAACGACTGATGTCATTTAATTTTCTATCGATTTTATATTTAGTAAATAAAAAATTGATAGAAAATCAAAATTTAGTAAATATTACTTACTAAATTTGCATCACTACAACTGTGATGTCATAAAACGTTTATTTACAATACAACAACACTCAGTGCTCTGCCCCAGTTGTTCATTTACGTAGCTTTTTTATCTTCATTTATTTAATGTATCCTCCTCAAATTTTAGTATGCAAACATAAATACTTATACAAAAACGAACCATATATTATGTTACAATTATACAATCAGCAGCGCTCGAGTTTGATATCAGACATTATTTAACCGGTTTCTAAGTCCTTTGCCGTTTGATAAATGACTATCATCATTAGATTTATAACGATAGCGTTTATTATTATACAAACAATTATAATTTCTCAGTGATTATGTACCGCACGATAAGTTTCGGTATCCTCTTGAATATTTTTCATCGGAGCGAGTTCAATCGACGTATAGGTATCGTTGACACAGATAATCACGTGGATAACATTAAATTCCGAATACCGATACGTTATTTTAGCATAATTAAATTTAATCAAATTATCTATAGTCGATAACATGGATGTAATTCCAAATTAGGACGTTCAGTAATTTGTCATCTTTTGCTTTTTCATTTGAAACTACTTGCTGTAGATATTATCGAAACAATTATTGAAATATGCTTTAACCATGTCGGTAAGAGTTTTATTTTTGTCACTATATTTCAACCATTGTAAAAACATTATATCTAAATATATACTCTCAGATTATTCGTGCCTCTAGTTCATATTTAAAATGGATTTTAGCTTAAATAACCATCTTTGTTTGCCGAAACAAATAAATATAACTATATTTTTTCGTTAAATGGAAAATATAAACGTATATATCACAATTATTTAGAAATAAAAAAATTGAACGCAAAGGAATTTTTTTTTCAATTTGTAATACGCAAAAATAATCTTTTAAACGTCAAATTTTATTATGACTCTTGTATTTTTACAAAGGAATGAGGAATGAGGAATGAGTGGGCTGATAACATCGTTTTAGACCTGATAACTGTTATATCCTGTATGACTAGTGTTCTAACATTTTTTAACACGAGCGTAAACAAGCACTCGAGTGTTTTTTTTTGTTGAACGCAATATTATTTCATAAGTAACGTTACAAAAAAGAACAACTGTTATACTTATACACTTACATGACCACTCGAACATTCAGACCAAGAACGTAATTTCAGTTTAATTTGACGTTCTACAATTGGTATTTTTATTGAATTAACATTGTATTAAGTGTGGAGCAAGTAAATTTATGAATATCATTGAACAATAATTATAACCTATCAAAAATAAAAAAATAAACTGCGCCTTAACACTAATTATTACAAGCCCTAGCTTACTGTTCGATTCATCCAACTGAATTTTAATCGTAGTATTAAACACAGTAAAAAAAATAATTTTCGGAGTTTGTTCGGGCAAGTAGACAAGGCCGTTTGGTTTTGAAATATTTACTCGATATCATTTACATGATAAATTTGTATAATTATTCAGCCGGTTACACAAACCGAAACTAACAACTCGATTTATTTTCCGGCACTTTTGTTTAGGGGAATATTTTGGATTTATCATTGTAAACCCATTTACATCTTATCATTATAGTGATATCATTTATGGGGGGAAGATGATCTATTTTTTTTTTTTTACTTTAGTCAGCATACCAGAGAAAACTTTTTTTACTAAAAAACAGTAATGATTAAAAAAAAAATGGTCTTTAAAGCCATACTTTGGAAATATCGGCTATAAAAAATATCGATATCGATTGGTCCAGGAGCCAATTACCCCTATGGACACCTCCTTAAATACGGGCCCGAATTTGTTTGTTTAGTGCACTGTATTTGCGCGGCAAGAACAAATAACTATGTCAGTTAGTTGACATAGTGTTATATTTGTCGATCAATAAATAATTAAGTTAAACATCTCATTACGTGTATGATGTGTCGTGTCACGTTCGTATTCAATGAAATTTTTATTGCCAGTAAAGTCAGTAGAGAAAAATACAAGTGAATAGCATAAAGAGTTCAATTATTTTAAACATTCATCATAAGACATTGCACGGAGATTGATGTCATTCGTCATATCTGTGAAAGGATTGGCCTATATCTTTTTTTACCGTAGTCACGACGGGCATGCCGATGTAATAATACATAAAAAAAAACGTTCGAAACAAGACTGTCATGTTTTGCGGAAAAACAATAGGTTTTTTTCTATTAACTTTGTGTCAAGTACGTTAAATCGGTTCAGCTCCCATAAGCTTCTTACAGCTGTCGATTAATTAAAATAATTACAACGTCGAATAATAACCTTTACCGGGTTGCCGTTGGATTGTTATCGCGCACTTAAATAATGCACAAGTGTCTCAATGTTATATAAGAAGTATTATAATAAATTCATAGAGTGGTGGTGGTGGTGGTGATAAGAGCTCTGTGGCCAACGGCTGCGGCCACAGTTCCCAACGTTCATACCGTCGGAGGCGGCCCCTCCTTTGGGACATCCGCCGCCACTGTTCTCCCGTGCCAAACGTACTCATAGTCCGTTGTTTTTATTTTGCAGAAGGATCTCAGCAGCCGAATGGCCCTGACGCTAGTCGGCCTGTTGAAAGTCTTCTCGGCGCTCGTTTTGATCGTGTCCACATCGAGCAACTCGCTGCTACTGCTAGTGTTCTACCGCCGTCCAGGTCTTCGCACCCTATCAAACAGGTGAGTGCCATTTGTTTTTTATTATCAATCTGCTGTTTCACTTTTGTTTTATTTTAAAAATAACGCGAGGAAAACACCGCGTCCACTTCGATTCGTTTCACAACGAGTTTAAATTTAACAAAACACTCGTATGCTCATGTGTTGTTTTTATGTATTCCACTGGGATGTAAACGGCGCGAAAACATTGTCGGTGCCAAAATTTACCTTAGTAAAGTCACACCGCTAACACAATTGTTATGAAACATACAGTCGAAAACCAGTTAAGGCGCCAATTATACACTAGATAAATATTCATCATCAATTTGAATTTAAAATGTTCACATTTAAATACTTCTCTGTTTAATTCATTGATTGTTTTCAAACTGTTTTAAGAGGGTTTTATACGCTGAAGATGTTTTGTCCGAAACGTATTATTTGTTCGCACTTGACTTATGCCGATGGTCGTTTTCAATGTTAACTCGTGTTTTACACGTTGACATAACATTTCGACTGTATAAATAATATTATGGCGGTCGTCGGGTTAAGTCGACGATATTTATAATGAATTAACGAGGTTTTCGTTAACACTTTGATTGTCTATCGAACCGTGTGAATCGGTAATTATGTTTCGCATGAAATTTCCAAGAACACTATTTGATTGTGTCCGACAGAGGTTTGTTTTTCACGCTAAGATCACGATAGCATTTTCTGCTGCGCCAGCTTGGAAAACGGCCGTCGTTATTTTACAACAGCATTTTACATGGTTCGTTTTATTCGAAACGTCATTCAATGACGTCCGTGCTTTTAAAAAGTAATTCCGAGAACCACTTAATCTGCATGGAGTTATTATATCTATTGCGAACATCTGAAAATCACAAGAGGTACAGTAACAGTCGGTATATGGTTGAATTTGCGAGTTACTGGCAAAACGCCGCCGAGCAGACTAAAAATATACAAAAGCCAATCGTTAATTTCCGTTGGGTCATATGCCGTGTTTATTCTACGTAAGTCTATATTACAGCGCGTGGACAGCACAGCTGACGGCCAGTCAAAGTTACATCACCTTCTTGTCCCGCGCCGATTGGAAATGTTATTTTAGCGAGTCCACATTGGGTACTCGATAAATCTACCGAGGGATAAAGATAAAAAGAATTGGTCAACTCTCAGAATTTTACTTTCTGGACTCTATCCATCTGGTGACTGTCCAAATAAGATTTTTAGTTAACATTTAATAACGTACAGCTTTATATTTATAGTCTTATTACTCGACAACGGATATTGGGTCGCAAATCTGCCGTTTACATGAATTTATTAAATTACAACAATATTATTATTAGGTCTACTAAGAATACATTATCATAAAAAACTTGTTGTGTCCTTCGGTAGCCTATTTCCTATTAAACCTATTTCGCCGTGTTTTTAAGTCGGAATTTGTGGAGATAAAATTTTCCACTATTGATTTTTTTCAAAGTGTCATTCGCATTAATATTGTTACACTTTTGGCACATAAACAGTGAAAAGATTCTGCACAATCTTTAAAAGACATTATGTTTGAGCACAATTGTTGTAACTAACTGAACTGTGGGCGAGGTCAAAGCAATAGGATGTATAATGGGAATATTTTTTTTAAACAAAACAGTCATGAAGTCTATTTTAGGTATTTATAATCTAAAATAAATATTGGATCAAATAAAGTGTCTGACAATAGTGACATTATGTAATGTCGTCGCTTTGGCGTTCATCGATCGTTGCAGTTTATGTTTATTCAATTTATTCGATAATAAAAACAAAATGCGGTTTACGAACAATGTTGACAATATTGTAAGGATTGAGTCAAATTTTAAATATTTTTTTAAAAGTTCTTCTTGGATTTATATTTTGGTTTTATTTTTAATATCACTAAAACCGTGTCATAACGATCATAAAAAAGTATCCCACACAAAACATTTGACACAATTTTGAGTAGTTTTCTCGCTTACATTTTATTACTGCGTCGTATATATTGTCCCCTAACATTTACTTGTAATCAACCTTCAATTTTTTTGCAATAATTAAAACCAACATACAACATTCTTGGTTTTCTAATATTTAAAAAAATCTTTATGTTTACAATCGTTTGCCTTCGACTGTGTTTTCGGCGTATTATGTTACACATTTAAACAAACAAAATTTACTTAGTATTTTTAGTAACCAAACTTTTTTGTTTCGGTTCGGGAATATTTTCAAGTAAAAACAACACATGTTTAACTATTACACTAGAAACCTTTAGGAAATAAGGTCAAATATAAAAACTGTTCCTTTTTTATAATTGCTTCCATTTACAACACTGTACGAGTTTTATTATACATTTTTTCTTGAAGTTCACTATATAAGTATTAAATAATTTTCTAGGGCCTTGCTTAAAGGAATTTTCGAGGGGCGAGGTGAAATTAAACCAACTAATAAAAATGTTTGTTTTATCCACAGATTTGTTATGAACTTATTGGTTACCAATTTAGCCAGTAGTTGGATTCTTGTACCGTTGATATTGTGGGACGGAAGCTCGTTCAGTTGGGCGCCGTCACTGACGGCGTCCATATGGAACGGCTTAACGGGTGCTGTTTACGCTCAGTCGGTGTTGTCTGTGATGGCCGTGGCCGTTGACCAATACTATGCGGTTACGGATCCACTTCGTTACCACGTCACTGTGAATGCAGCTAGCTGTGCTGTGGCTGTAGCCCTAACATGGTGTTTATCTGCCGTGGCTGGTGCGCTGTCCGCCGTCCGGGAATTGTCTGTAGTACCCGAGGCCTTCCGATTGACGTTCCCCGTTACCTATGTGCTATTGCTTTATGTGATGCCGTTTCTCTCTGTGTGTTGGGTATACGTAAAAATATGTACTGCCGCCCATCGGAACAGCGAACGGGCTAGAAGAAACGGGTCAGTTCCCGATCAGCTACAACAACAACAACAACAACAACAACAGCCGTTGCAGCAAAACAACAACGAATATAACATAGTTCCTACGATACAAGAAGAAGAAGATGATGAAGCTGTGGAGGTAAAACCGACGGCGCAGGAGTCGGATACTCCTAAACCACCCCCTTTAAACCATTCTTCAACAAGGGCTAGTCTTAAGAGCACATCCAGTTCCATCGTGAATCATCTAAGGTAAACACACATTAATATGATTTCTCCGTGAGATTTTCTTTATAATGATAATTGGCCGCTAATCCGAGTGATATTGTTGTGATAAATAATATAGTTCCAAAGAGTCGACTAAAGTGTCTGTTGAATATTTTCAAATAATTTTTACTCGCAATCATAACTTTTGTTCTTAAAAACGAACATAAATATTGTTAATGTGCCTGTCTAACACTATAATGATATTTACTCCGAGTTCGTCTTAGTGTTTTTGAAGTAGTTGAGTTCGTATTGATAATTTTTATTGTTGTATTGTAGAAAGTAAATCTGTAAAAGAGAAAGATTGGCCACGGGAAAGTGGAAGTGAATTTTCATATATTTCAAAGAAACGGGTAGTTAATTTTGAAGGAGGATTGTCTTAGATGTCTGAGAAAAGTACAATATTGCATAGTCGAGATGGGAAGCTGCTCGTGTTACTTGGAGAGATTCGAGTGTTGTTTAGCCTCGGGCGGGTTTATAACATAATATATGACGTGCTTGAATGTTTCAACCATGTCTCGTATTGCACATAGTCTGCTAAATATTGCCTTTTTAATACCCAATTAAAAGCCGTAAAAAACAATGCAACAAAGTGTAAGTGTTTAGACGTGTCGTTTATATACATTGGAAATTTCGCAAGACTTACAAGTTGGCACTGTTGGTGTAGATGTTTTTTTTTTTTCACGTGTACGGTTTTTTATTAAATTTGTAATTTTTTAAAATATACTAAAGGCGAATAAGTGTAATCAATAATTTACGATAGCCATCAATAGTGAATGATAATTACAAAACCTACGTCGGCTTATTAGACAAAACAAAACAAAAACGTAATAAACAATAAACATTACCGTCTACCGTTATTTATTTTATACGTTCGTTTAACGTTTACGGGTTATGGCGTTTATCTTAATATCGAGTTGTAGTGATATAAAATTGAGCAATTGTTGACTATTTCTACCCACGAGCTTTATGTTGAGAACACGCGCTGATATTATTGTGATGATTTGAGTGTTTTTTTTTCTTATCAGAAGTCGAGCCTTCCTAATTCCATAAACATCGAATGAAAGCAGCTAGTTTTTGAATCTTGTAGTCTCATTCGGCTATTGCTCATAAAAACTAAGAGTCCCATTTTTTAATTGATGTTAAATTTATAAATTTTTGCGTAACTAAAAAGCAAGGATTTATTGACTTTTTACGCAAGAACTGTAACGATTGTTTTCGTCGGACTCGAGAGTAAATAAAATGAACGTTATCTCCACGACATTGGCGTTCCTTATTATCTTGACGTTGAGTTTACACAATTATTCGGAGAACTTGTAACTTAATTGTTTATCTGTTGACTAACTAGTTGTGTTATTATTTTTTAGATACAGAATATCAAACGCCAGCATGTTCCGGTATCGTGAAGAGTCACGAGCTGCCAAGATTTCGGTCCTGGTCATCGTAACGGCAGCCGCGTGCTGGACACCATACGCTGCTTTTAAGCTGTCCCAGTGGCCGCCCCTGATCGCATTGGGGTTCATACCGTCTCCGGGGCCGTTGACGGCTCTGTTGTCATTGTCAGCGCATGCAGTCATAACACCCATTCTGTTCGCACACCGGAACAGACGTGTTCACCGTGAGCTCTGCCGTATATTTTGCCGGCGGAAGCGTTGTAGCAGTTTTTACGAAAACGTGAGAAACGCTACAGTGGCGGCAGCGGTAACGCCGATCAAGTCGACCGAACGTTTCGGCGGTTCCGAGTCGCCGTTGCACGTTTTCAGCAAGTGGTTCGGTCGTCCGTCGGCCGCCACTTCGGCGTTCTTAGTGCCTACCCTGACTGTACCCAACGCGGCGCATCTGCCCACCGACCTGGAGACTGCACGCAGTTCGTTCTCCAGCAATGGCAGTTCTTCGACGCAAGCGTCTTCAGTGATCACAGTGGACTGACGCGGACGTCGCGATGGGCTGACTGCCCAGAAAATTCTTCTAGTCAACGCCAACAGCAACGGGGACGCACCACTGCTCTCCTGAGGCCGGCGGCTTCTCTCGGACAGTATCCCCCGACGAGTTTGTATATGTAATATATGAACGGTTCTCACACATTTGTTTTCCTATTAATGTACTTAAATAAATTGGATTTTATTATAAAAAAAATGTATTTTTTTTAAGTCGTTAAAAATCGTATTTTTATTTATATTTTTTACAAGTGTATTTAAGTATAACAACGTTTCATAATTCGGCTAATTATTCGTTTACGTGAAGCTTTTTTTTTAAGCCTATTCCCTCTGCAACGCTATTTCCTCCTGTTGTGTTCTCCGAATAGCCTTATTTAATAGAATTCTAGAAGAAGAAAATATTGTTAAATTGACCTTTTTTGTTAAACATGTCGTTTATTGCGACACTTTTTAGCTAAAACTCATAAAATGTGTATTATTTTATTACTTTTTTTTGTGAAACTTATATTTAGTCCATCATAAAACGTTAATATATTTAATTTCCTATTTTTTAAATAAAACAAACTGTGTTATTTTTGCAAACCCTGTTTCCTATTGATTTATTATTGTCGTTTGGCAGCAGACAGTATTGTTTTTAATAGTGTACACTTAGTAAGTATTTACTGGTCAAGAAATAACACTACTTGTATATGTTTCTGAAGTGAAGAGAACTGATAGATTTCCCTTTATCAATGAAAAGTTACACTCAGTATTGTTACTCAGGTGTCTGTAATCTGACACTTTGATTTTTCAGGATGCAATATTATAATAATTATAATATTATATAATTCAAAATATAATATTTAAAAAATAGAAATTAATTCAAAATTGATGGGGTTTTTTTTGTCCTTATTATAATTATTATAATATTGTATAGCCAACCACAATAAAACATAACTCGAACGAAAAAAATACCTATTTCAAAATAATTTCTATTTTCAATAGTCTGTAGCCCAAAAGAAATAATATATTTTACTATAAACTTAATATGTGTGATGGATGGGATGAGGACAGAAGAAAACGACCGTGAATATGACCTCAGACACAAGTCAAAACTTAAAATAATATTTATATTTTTGGTTTAAAAACAAAATGCAATATCATATCGAAAAGCTTAATGTTTTGCTTATTAATCTAAGTACGTGTAAAAAGCAACGATAGAAATGAATTTTTAATCGGTTTGCATTCTGTCTACGAGTAATGAAACCGTTTAATTGATCATTTGGTAAGGTTTCAAATTCCACTCGTGAAAACCTAATGTTTACATTTTGTGGAGATATTGACATGTCGTCCTTAATAGAGACAACTCTGCCTAGTCTATGTGTGGTAAACGTTGCACATTTTCTATTAAGTACGTGATTGCGTGATGTTCACTTGGTAAAACATATTGGTAATAACAACGTTTTGAATGCGATTTCAACATTTCTTGTAATTCCACACCCTTCGATAGGTTTTTAAATAATAATATTTACAGTTTATCGTGAAAATTATAAGTCAGAAAAGACCTTCTGGAGAGTTTCGACGGGACAACTAATAATAGTCTACTGAATGACAGTCGAAAATATTGTTTCGAATGATTCATTGAGTTGACACACATCCCCTCGGGCGACTCGTGGTAATTTATACATTTTTTATTTTGTTTCCTTAAAACTGACTATTCGTTTTGGTGTAAACGGTTATTTATCTTTTCCTTTCAAAATAACTTGCCGGCCTTGTTACTGTAGGTTATGATCGCATTTAACGGTATTCGGTTATAATTAGTGTTTTGCTAGCTAAACGCACATGGTCGATTTGTATCATTAACTACAACATGATAAATGATCAATAAAGACATCAGCAATTGCACGATTTTTGTTGATATTAGGCAAGGGAGACGACTTTTATTTGCCTTCCCTTTCGACCTCCTCGTCGGACACAACCTCTACGGCGTTTACTACAATGTTTGCAGTCATACAAGTTGGCGGTCGTTTCTATTGAATTGAAAATAGCTTGTTCGGTACGAATTGTAACCCAAAACGAACTCGTGTGATTCAAACTAAGATTACAAACCGCAGACGATTATAGTCCCCAAATTAGTTTAGTAATCTGGTCTGCCAGACAAAGCTCTCGGCGAGAGATTTATTAGGAGTTTCCGTGGGAATGCGGGTATATTGAAAACTTAAATACATTGTCATTATTGTGCGCTTATCGACACAGTCGCTCGTTCTCTGGACATGATACATTTCATTAATATGTCCACGATGAAAACCCACTACATTTAATTGTATTGACTCTGCCAAAAATGTGAAACGTTAAAAAAAAAAAAGTGTAGATGATAATAATGTCAAATGTATTTTGTTTCAAATTAATGCGTATAATAAAAAAATAAAATACTCAGAATTGAAATATCAAGACTAGAAATCAGTTACTAGAAAAAAATATAATAACATTAACAAAAGTATTTACATTTACATTGTTTCGTAATGTTTAATTATAACTATTGAATCATTCGGATTTATTAAAATTAACATCGAGTCACTCCGTTCGTTGTGATGGACGACGCGTACGAAATTTGGATTATCATTTGAACGCTTAACGTTCGCAGCCGAAAATTGCAAACCAAAAGATTTCATTATAAGCTGTTTTCAGATTACTCAGCAGAATTTCTTAACAATCTGACTGCATGACACTGGCCAGAAGTAATTTTCATAAAAATTATTATAGTGTTTATGATTTGGACGAGCGTTCGGCGGTGGCCTCCAAAGCTATTTGGACCGAAAGCGATTGAGGATTTTCATCGTACGATTCACAATGCGACCAAAATGATTTAGGATCGGATTAATCCGACTGCGGTGGCAACACAGACCGTGTAAGTAGCCGCTGCCTTAGTACACACAAATCAAGTGGGAGACTAGTCGGCCTCTGCAAGTTTTAACGCTGTGTTGCAATATCCTAGACACACATAAGATCTGTTTTATTATGTACTTGTAAGATAAAAATGTATGCTGACCGTGATCCGCGCACGAACACACGAGTCGGCTGGAGGTCCAACGCCTTTCTTTCCCTAAACAAAACATGCCTTTAGATTGTATCTAAATAGAAAAATCTACGTGTACATCTACTGCGCGTTTCTTCTTGTGTAATTTTTTTGTATATTTTTAGGGCTCACAGTCTTTGTAGTCTAAGCACACAATGCCCTTTTATTGTCCAGTCTTCAGCGCGGTCTCCACTAATAATCAGAACACATAATTTTGTAGTCAAGGGCGAATTTGATTCGAGTTGTTAGTGTTGAACATTAAACTGCACCTTTTGGCTAAATCGATTGCACCGCGTGGTCAACTGCAAGTGTAGATAATATTAGACACTGTAATTAAAATTATATTGCCATGTGCGAACTGACGGGAGCGAGTATACGTCCGGTGGAAGAGGAGAGGTCACATTCCGTACGGCGGCAAAAATGATTATTAGTAGTGTGTTGATTACAACCACCTGTAACTATAAATTTAATTGATGCGTGTAGACGAACGTCCTTGTCAGGTTGCAGCCATTGAAAACCGAAAAATTCTTCACAAATACCTTGTGTCCAATATATAAACATTGGGACTGCGCAGTAAGTTTTGCTTTTATTTTGCCGCTATTGCATAATCGTTTGTTTTTTTTTCTCAACTACACTAAAATAAGTTAATATTTAAATTCGTTTTTTTAAAAATTCCACCGGTAAAAATGTTTAGTATTCATTAGACAATACAAAGTATCGTCAGTGTAACGCTGTCGTCATAAATGACTATAAACAAGTGTAAAGCGATCAATCGGACAAAATTCCGTGTTATTAAACCCACACACTGTCCTCGTGTGCTTCTTAATCATACACGTATTATTGCTACATTACAGTGATACACTAGTATATAT